GCGGGGTTTTTTCGACCGGTTAACTGTCCCTCACCGTGTTTATTTGCTGGAGTGGCCTCTCCAGGGGCGGGTGTGGATAGAGGAAGGAAGCCAGGAGGTGCCCAAGCAGCTGAACGATCACCGTCGTTCATAACTTTGCCACTTTTTGTTGTATTGAATCCTGGGTTATGTTTGGTTAGTTCACACTGTCGATCCTTCCACACCAAATCACTATCATCATCATCACCACGACCAGGTGGATAGTAAACCATAAATTGGTGATTGTACACAAACAAGACGATTTACCGGACCCGTAGTCCAAACTATGTGATGCACATGGGAAAAAGAGAACAGGATCGCAAGCGGCAACGCAGATAGATGCCTTTAGTCAATCGGATCGAAGTAACCGAAAGCGAGTTAACTAAAATTGAATAACGAAATGATGGTGGGTTTATTGCTCGAACAAACTGCACCCGTGCGTAGATCATGACTCCGGGGAGGGGAGGCTCAACGCAAGAATACGCATGATTCGGTCACGCCCGGTTTGACTGATAGCCGATGATCCAACCGAAAACCTTTATGACAGTGTGCAATCTGGGAGCAGCTATGGAGATTAGACTTCGTATGATTCTATCTACAACCCATCCTCGTCTCACAGTGCTCAGCGCTTCCAAAAAGAAAACCGGATAAAACGTCAAGAAAACTGTTCCCAGATAAAGGCGTGATCGAGCCAGGGAGAAAATACTTACTATAAAAGCACACATGCACGTATATCAACGTTAACTGAAACACGCGTAAAAAAAGAGTCATGGACAGAGAGAGAGAGAGACGGGGCGGGGGCGGACAGAACAGGAAATGAGAGCGTAGCGCGGGGGAATGCGATGCGCGACCGAATCAGTTGGACGCAGAATGAAGACATATAGAGCGACATGTGAATAAAATAGATAACCGTTAAAAATGGTGACAAAGCCAAAACATACAGTCGAAGGTTGTGAGCCAGACAGAGAGAGAGAGAGAGCATAAACAAAAAAGACAGGGGAGGGAGAGTCACGACACGAATAGCACGGGTAGTAATAGGGATAATCGTTAGAAAAATGACCAAAACAAGTGCTCTGCCCGTTTGTCTGTCTTTCGCTCGCTCACTTGTGTCCCCCTCCCCCCCTCCCGTCCCCAGACTGTCCCGATGAGAAATGAGAATCTGCTGCACAGACAAATGGGAACAACACAGGTTCAACCGGCCAGACGTGGGCGAATGAATGAGTGCATCGATCACAATAGGCTCCAAATCACGTGTTCACAACAAACGCAGACAGCTGATTGTCCGGCACGAAGACCGTGTGCAAACACAAGTACACACACACACACACACACACACTGGAGACAGAGAGAGAGAATCTGAGAGCAAGCAAACAGAGCTCCATGTGTGAACTTTTTCCCCTCCTGTCATTCGATCTGTCACGAATTCCGGGGTGCGTGGGGATGGCGTATTTAACCATAATAACAAGGAGGGGCGGGACAGTCGAAGCGCACGACGAGTGCAGAAAACTAGCACTTAAAACAGTGAGGAGCGATTCGGTGAGTGTGGTGAGTGTTTGAATCTAAGACAAAAAAACGCGAATAAAAAGAGAGAAACATCGAGGGACAAAAGAAAGAACAGAAGAGATGAAAACCGAGATGAATGGAGATCCGTGTTCATATTCCCAGCCGGTTTGATCCAATTAGATTCGATCTGATCCGACAGTGAAATATCCCTGATCTGGTCCAAGTCATGCGGTTGCACTGGAATTCGAGGCCAAAGGCCATTTGTAGGTCCCTGAGTACTGATAGCCTGCACGTTCGCGCAGCTTGTTCGCCTCGGCCGGGCCATCACGACTGGAAAGGAAGAGACGAGAATTGAAACGAGGGGGGTGGGTGGGGTAACGGGGGGGGGCTAGTCCTGATGAGAATATGTGGAAATGGGCTAAATTGCACGAAATAAAGAAAGGAATTCGGCCGGAAAAGCTAGGAACATTATGCGAACTCATCAGACGGAATAGTGGAATCATATCAGGGTAACACAACAACTAATAACATTTGGGAAAAGAACATTAACCTTGGACGCACACAGGTCCGGCCAAGACACATCAAAAACTGGTTGTTTCCACTTCCCTCTGTAACTGTGCCTTACTTACCTCTACTTTCACATCCGGGTTGATGGACCATTGGTAGTTCACCTAGGAAAATTGACCAAAAACCATGATTTCAAACCAACCAAGAGGCGTACAAACCACCTTTCCGGTTGTGGCAGTGGTCACCGGCTCGATTGGGCATCGAGGTGTATTGGGCCCGTTGGACGTTTGACCACGTCCAAAGGGCGAATGATCTGATGAACCAGACCGGTGTCTACCGGCCCCCAATGGATTGCGGTTTTCACACACCACCCCGCTGCCTTGCGGGTCAGGCTTTGGATAGCCAAAGGCTCCCGTTGTGGATTTCTCAAGAAAATGTACCTGCCTTGGTCTGAGCAACCTGTCAGTATTCCGCACACAAGCCATTCATGGAACGTTCTTCTTTTTTTATAAAGATCATTGTGTCATGATTTGTTCAGCACACAGTCTGGCGTCAGACGTGTGTGAAATATATATATATATATATAGCCTGGGTACCCATGATGAAAAATCTGGCCTGTTCCCCAATTACCCATTACATTCAAGAAAGGTTGTTATCACAAACTGCAGACTTTCGAATGATAATATTGCCCCAGTTAGAACCTTGCATGCCCGAAGATATCGACTGATTTCGAGTGTGAGGGAGGGGGAAGGCGGGCATGGAGGGGGACAAAAATGGCCTCAAATTATACCGTTTAAATCACACACAGAGATGGAATCTTAGCGATGTGATCAGATCACAAACTGGGTTACAGGCGAGTAAATCAACAACGATAAGTCACATGATGCTCTCTAACTGAGAGCTTAAACAATGGACTCAAATCGAGCCCAGCGAATTCGACTAAGATTGGTCGGATCAACCCCGTGAACCCAGATCACGTGTTCGTTTGAGTCAGATTTTCGCCAACTGCTGTGCTAAGTGTTAAGTGACTACCTTTATTATGGATACGAATTGACCAGTCCAGCACAGATATATATACATATATTTTATATTTCATTATATATTTTCACGTGTCTAAATTCAGATTGTGCCAAACAGATCATGGTACAATAATCTTTGAATAAAGAAGTCAGAAACATGGGTTTATACAATGTATCCACGGTTATTTGTGCAAACCCATGTTCCTGACTTATTAATTCAAAGATTAAACGTCATCCCCCACCATCAGTTATAATAATCTTTGTGAAAAGAAAAAACGTTTCACTAGTTGCATGTGGGCGGAATACTGCCAGGTTGTCCAGGGGAAGCCCATTGAATTTTCTTCAGGAATCCATAACCGAAGCCTTCGGCTATCCCAAGCCTAACCCACAAGGCAGCAGGGTGGTGTGTGAAAAGTGTAATCCATTGCGGGCCGGTGTCCAGTTCATCGGAACATACGCTCTTTGAACGGGGCCAAACGTCCAGGGTGCCCAATCGAGCCGGTGACCACTGCCACAACCGGAAAGGTGATTCGTACGCCTCCTTTTGGGTGGTTTGGAATCATGGTTTTTGGTCAACTTTCCTAGGTGAACTACCAATAGTCTACCAACCCGGTTATAGCTCCGGATGTCGGCTATTCGTCCTCTCACTTTGGTTGAAAACACCTCCGCCACGAAAAGGTAGTGAGTAGGGCTTCCTCAGTAGAGGCTATTCGGCAGAGATTGAAGATTCCTTGCGACGGTTTTTTCTCTCTATAGCCCGCTGTATCTGCTCGGACGACGATACCAGTTCTCCCCGACTGGCATGGTGCCCAAGTTTACAAACCGCTTCTCATTTCCCTGACTATACAGGGACGATGGAAGTAAACGTAGCTTTAAACAGACGGTGCAACTAAGCACGGAAGAACCATTTTGCGATTGAGATTTTGAAATGGTGAAACGTTTCTTTGTGAACCAAAACGAGAAAAATGATAATTTTTTTTATCTATAGATACTTCCTTCTTTCGTTTGAATGAAAAAATGGCAATGAAGCTGTGAGTAAAAATTAGACTAATTTCTGATTACATGTTGTGTAACAATTCGAGGAACAATATACTACTCACGAGTAGCGCTGTACAAAAAGTGCCGAACAAAAACTAACCTTCCAAATGGATATGGTATTGGTTTGACACGATCACGTTCGAGTCGTTCCAACACCGGAGTCAAAATGCGCCAAGCCTCACGCAATTCATCATTGCGGACAAAATTAGTCTGACTGCCACAAAACACGTCCAAAATCAAGCGTTCATACGCATCGGGTAGTTGAATGTGCTAATAGAAAGACAGAGAGAGAGAGAGAGAGAAACGAATGAGTGCACGGCACACGCATGATTAGCGCAAAAATAACACAAATAAGATTGTGGAACGAGTCATGGTACATTTTTTTTCCATTTCAAGTGACGGACGGTGGTTGGGGTAACCAGTACGTATAGTGCCTGATCCGAAGCACTGGAATCCAAGCATCCAGATTTTGCAAATACAGCGAATCGTTCACTCTTGGTGTCATCTGCACTTACCATTAGGACAATGGTACTGATCAAAAATAGAGTACCATGGGACCTGTTAATGTGGCTTACCGGCAGTGAAGGAGTTCTGATTTCTGTCAGGGATAGACATGTGAAACGAAGAGCTTAAGAGGAAATATGGACTGGACAGACAGAAATCATTACGAGTAAGTCAAAGTCAAAGTTTGATTATGGGGCGATTTAACAAAGCTAAAGCTTATTATGCCCCATAGGATTTTTACAGAATCTTTTGGATAACTTTACGAAGAGAAAATGATAACGATAACAATTTGCATGATCACTTACGGATGTCGAAATATCAAGTGTTCCAATGCTTTATCGAATCGCAATTTAAATAGTTCAACTGTAGGAGCACACACTACATCAGATGGAAGAGAATTACATACGCAGGCACACTCTGACTACAAACCAGTGAGTGATGCCGGCAATCAAGGTGGCTGTTCTGGGTCTTCACCTTTAGTGGATGTCCCTTGAGGTGATCATTATGAGATAATTGTCAGTATAGAACGGCAAGGGTGGTTGGGTTGATGCAGAATGTGAAATGCCAACATTGGGTCACCCCGAAGTCGGAGGTATTGAGATGGGTAGAGTCCCAATATTTGCAGTCCTTCGGAGTATGTCTTGTTATAGAGACATTTTACCAATCTCGTTGTCAGCGTTTACGGTCGTTCTAAAGGCTTCTTGTCGCGGTTTCACCATGGATTCCATATTTGAACGATGTACGCAGTGTGTGGCCAAACGAACGCTGATAGTAAGCGTGGGAACAGTGCATTTTCGAACTGGCCGAAAACACGTCTGAGTAGTGCAATTTGCTTTATAGCCATGGATGATGTTCTGGCACAGTGCGTGGAACATCCTACGTTCTCCTGTACCATAACTCCCAAATCCCTTTCGTCAGTGGCATGCGATAGTAGTTGGTTCCCAAGAACATAGGAGAAACGAGTTTTGTGTCGCATGGAAATAACTCTGCATTCGGAAAGGTCTAAGTCGAGTGACGAGTGGCGAGTGACCATCAGTGGGCTGCATCGATCGTTTGTTGGAGTGCTATATAATCCTCAGGATGTGTAGGGATCAAGCATCGGTCAGTTTGTGCATACATCACGGAAATCGTCAGACAGTTATTTGGGTATGAGAGATATTTAATTTGGTAAGGATTGATCTTAAACGGGATCGGCGTATTCCACTGCTGAAGCTACATGCACACACAGCAAGGGGGATGGCACATCGAAACAAACATTGAGGGAACTAGTGGTGAGATTGATGAGGGCTATCTATTTAAGTCAGTGGTGCGCAGGCAGATCAAGTTACTTACTTTACTTCACTGTGGCTGGCTCCTTGGAAAGGATAAGCTGGCTCCAGGCGTGATCATGATCATGAAGTTCCTTGGGAGTTTGGTACGAGAGACGCCCCCAGCGTCTTTTTATTTTGAGGGCGCACCTCTAGCCTTTGCACAACCAAGTGCGAACTGCAAGGCAGCAGGAAGTAATCCCGCGCCTCGCGAGTGAGGGGGTCAATGACTGGTTTTGAATGGGCCAGTCACGCACAGCTTTATCACGACACCGTCACCGGGCTTATGCGGTTTCTAAACAGGAACCAGGTGACCACAAGGAAACCCACCACACCCTGGTAGTTAGTGCCGCCGCTGTTTGTTCGCGACTGCTTATTTGTTGCGGTATATCACAACCTATTCACAGCTTACCTTCTTCAGTGGAGGTATCCCCCTATCCATAACCCGGGCAGGCACCTGGTAGCATTCAGCTCTGCTCAAACCGAGGGTATCCAAATCAAATTGACGGTAAGCGAAGTGTAAACCACTGGACGAGAAAGAAAACAGCCTGCAAAAATAACTACTGTCGGGTGGGCGAATGAGATGGATCACCTGAACCAAAAGACACAAAGTAAATCGGCCAAACTAATAGTTGTACATGGCTTGTACTGGGATGAATCTGCATCAGTCGAATGAAGGTTGCGCCTGCTGAGCCACCGTGATCCACGGGCCAACCAACTGTTGGGTTACAGTTTGCACTTGGTTGTGCAGAGGCTAAAATTGTGCGCAAGAAATGTAGGGCCAAGTGATACCGATTGGGGGCCGTCTCTCGCATTCAACCTCATGAAACTTCATGATCATCGTGAAGCTCTTTACTCCTCTTCAAGGAGCCAACTGCATCTTGACATGGACTGATGGCTTGTGCACCAGTGACCGCACGTACCACACTGGATGGCTTTTATCAAGGTGACGACGAACTATAGACAAGGTCCAGTTTTCTGGTACACAGGGTTAGAGAGCATGACTCGAGTTGGCATCTTTGTGGGTAAAACGAGGGGACGGATTTCTATTCCACCTGAACAGATGAATTGTGATTAGGTTCTGGTCATCCATCGAGATTGAGCTCCCGAGCAGCAGCAGCAGTTGTAGGCCTTTTCGATGCTCAAATTAATAGTGACGGATCACTGGGTAAGTTAGTCAAGTCAACATGGGAGTTGTGGCAAACCGATCGCGCGAACATACCTGGTACCGAGTGGAATAGGTCAGATCCAGTTCAGTCTCCTCGGTCACAAAACGCATCCCCGGTGTCTTGGTGTTCAATTTCACATAGACCGCTTCGTTCGGCTGGACGCGAATGACCAGCTCGTTGCGTTTGACCGAACCCGGCTCGAACAGACTGGTTCCGAGGTCTTTGAACTGGATTCGGATCTCGGCTTTGTGCTCGTTCAATGCTGCGGCGGTGAAGG